TTCTGTGTGTCTTCTGTCCCCCCCTCTCTGCCTCTGTGTCTTCAGTCCCCCTCTCTATTTCTGTGTGTCTTCTGTCCCCCCCTCTCTGCCTCTGTGTGTCTTCTGAATGGACCGAGGTGGACTACAGACACATCAGTATATTGTCTTCTGAAACAGACTACAGAAATCCAGTGAAGCTCTACAAAGTTGTGTTTYACTGTTTGTGGACTCAGATCTTTTGCATGGAACCTAACTACTAGTAATTTGTGGTAACCCCAGTAATATCACAAATATCGGAAATACAGTACAGTAAAGAATGTTGTATTTATCCTGCGTTTTTTTTTTTTTTTTTTTTTTTTTTTTTTTTGTGGGTTTTCGAGCTAAATCATTGAGGACAATCTAATTGACTCATTTTGTAAACATAAACATGAACGTAAATTCTGTTCCGTATAAAAAATAAATACAGTGAAATACAGCACGTGACGCATGCCTAAGCTCAGTACCATGTGACATGTAGCTGCTGTTTAGGTGTTTTTGTTTAGTTCTTACTGCATTAAGACGCCACCCAAACACAACTGTATGGGCTTAACTGTGCAGTAATATGGGAGTTAGAAAACCTTAATCAGTTATGCACTGGGCTACATTTTTTTCCTATTATTATTTTTTTTTTTCAGCTTGACATTACTTGTTAAGAAAATCACTGTCACCACTCAACTTATTAAATCTGGTTCTTGCCTAAATTTATATTTATATTTTAAAAATTATGCATATGACCTACTGAGAGCCTACAATATGTTAACGTCATTGGTTTTAGACCTGTTGTTCTTATTTAGGAAGACTACATTTTAAAGTTCCATCTTTCATTTTAAGCTCACACACACATAGTTCTTAAATTTAAGTTGCACAAAAACTATTTTTTGTTTATGATGTTACTAATCCTAAACTAAGGAAAATTAWAAATGCAAACCAAGYAAATGCTTGGAAGTCAGGAAGATGTACCAGTGTGGCCAAAGGGGKGGTCAGTGGGGTGCACATAGGGCCCCCTCTTCGTACCGCCTCTGGGTTAGACATATWTTGAGACATCCTCGCGAATGTCATTCGCACTTTGTTGTCAACAATCTCAGCAAAGAAAAATAGTGTATTCAGGTGATAATACTTGCCTCCAGTGTATTTGTTATGTCTTGCCAGATTTTCTGAATAAATGTAATTCTGTTAGAATAATTTCGGCTCACCGGTGGGCAGGGGTGTGTGGATCTTTTCCCACTCCTCGCGGTTTTGCTCAATCAACTCCTGCGCGAGTTGYTTCTTCATGTCTTTGTTCTTGAAATGCTGCTGTGTCTTGTCGTAGAAAACTGGGTGATTGAGCCAAAATTCCGCCATTGTTTGCTGGTGTCCGTTTCTCCAGGGGTACTGCCGGTCCCCGTGAGCCGCAGGTGTGTATTTTCKTTTTTTCTTCTCGAGCACACGTGCGGCAGCCCACCTAGCTTTATCTGTCTTGCTCTTGGGTGGCATGGTGGTGAAACTGTCGGTCGCGACTCGCGGCTGTGTCGGCGTCGACAAAAATGGCGGCGAGCCGTTTGCGAGGAGTTTCGTACGYCTCCGTATGCAAACATACTATTGCACAAATGTCGTGTTAATGTCGCAATTTATTCGCATTGCGTTTGTTTCGTTGTTTTACATTATTAAAGAGTTGTGGGCGTACTCTCGCAGGGTTGAACTACAAAATATCATAAAAGGTTTGCTSTGAAACAGTCTGACTGAGGTGTGGTTTGTTACTCCCAGCGCAGCGGAACTTCCAAAACTTCTTTCCGTCCTTCAAAATAAAAGTCTCAAACACGTAAACTTGAGTGTTGACTTTAAAWTACTCTAAATATCCGAAATTTAAAAACTATCTGACATTATATTATTGGTACTCAGTAAAAACTATACTGCACCCTAGACCACCTGGAAATTTGAGAGTATTTACAGGTCAGTACAATACATTTAAGCCTCCAGTTGTCAAAAATTAAATGATGCCTATTTGAACCTGGATGGATAGAAAATTCAWAACAATTCACCAATGTCCACCCAGTTCTTGATTTTAGAAATCATTGCATTTGCATTTAGCTACTATCCTTTAAGTCAGTGGTTCCCAAACTTTTTGTCTTCTGACCCACAAAATATCCATGGCAAAAACTTGTGACCCCAAAAATTACTGGTCTGAGT